GGGAAGGGCGGGGCGGGGCCGGGGGAGCCGCGCGGGGTCATTAATTAACCATTCCTCGTTAGGTGTTGATGAGCTCATCGTTCGTCGTTCGCCTCGCTCTGCTGCCGCGCCAGGCTTGGAGCTGTGCGTCCTTACCTCGCCCGTGGCGAGGAGAGGGGGCAAAGCCCTCAGACCGTGTCCTCCATGTCCGTCCGTGGGAAGGGCGGGGCGGGGCCGGGGGAGCCGCGCGGGGTCATTAATTAACCATTCCTCGTTAGGTGTTGATGAGCTCATCGTTCGTCGTTCGCCTCGCTCTGCTGCCGCGCCAGGCTTGGAGCTGTGCGTCCTTACCTCGCCCGTGGCGAGGAGAGGGGGCAAAGCCCTCAGACCGTGTCCTCCATGTCCGTCCGTGTCAGTTCCCTGCCCTGCAATAAAGAGCACCTGCAGCTCCCACCGGAGTGTGCCGCGGGTTGTTGGACACATAAAACGCGTTACAGTATTAAAACAGAAACGTATCCGAGAGGAAATAAAAAGGTGCAATCCCCCAGCCAGAGGATGGCTCGTGCCCAGCCCAGGCCACAGTGCGGCGCTGCCTCAGCCCAACACGAACTCGTGGCTGCAATCGATACCGAGCACGAGTGCTCGGCAGGATTAAAGATTAATAACCTTAACCAGCATTGCAGCCTCAAGGAAACGTTTGTGGCACAGGGGAAGGGCACCGAGGTGCGAGCTGGAGCTTCAGTCCCTTTTCTGAGCAGTTCTCAGTCGGTTTGGGATGTACTCCAGCAGATCCCCCGGGGTGTCTCAGGCAGCTGGAGAAGGAGCTGGACCCTCCAGGGCAGCAGCAGGGCCAGGGCTATGCACAAGGCTCTGGACACCAAACAGCACAGCACTGAAAAGGCAGTCAGCTTTTTTGGGGCAATTCGGGTGATTTTGTCTGGCTTTGAAAGCACAAACATAATAAACACAAACAGCACTTATCAGATTGAGTGTCTCCTTCAGCCCCAGACTACACCTGCTGCTGCTGCCCACAGCCACCAGCTCCCAATGGTGGATAAAAGGGGATTCCCACTTCAACCCTTCCTTCATGGGGATTATTCTGGAATAAACATACCCTTGGAGCTTTCAGCAGTGAAGCTCTGCTCAAATTCCAAATACAGAATATACGTATTCCCCCAGAAATCCATCACACAATGTGGAAAAAGTCCTCTGGATAATACCTGCTTTTCTCTTTCAAACGTGCTTAAATTACACAAGCAGAAAAGTTATGCTTATTAATAGTTTAATGTATGAAGGAAACATCCAGATTTCTGAATATGAAGGTACATATCTCACATTAATTTAAGTCTACATAAAGTAGAGCCTCTATAACTGACATATTGAAATTTACTTTCTGCTTAGCCATTTGTTATGTAAACAATTGTACATTTATTTGCCATTCTAAAACTTCGGATCAAGTTTACATAATTTTGCTAAATTTCTGTGTTTGCTCAGAAGCAGTTTACAGTACTAAAACCAACCAGCCAAAGAACAGCTTCAACAGAAAGTTATGTCAAAAAAAAAAAGAAAGAAAAAAAAACAGAAAAGAGGAGGAAAGGAAAGAAGAAAATGCTAACTAAGTCGAAACGTATGATGGTGGGGAATGGGCGGTCACAATGTTCACAGAAAAAGGTCAGTTAGTAAGTTCTTCTGCAAAAAGCCTACACACTTCAGTCAAGCACATCAGTAGAATGATCTGGGAGCACATAAACTGTTTCTGCCACTTGTGGTTTCCTCTGCAAAACAAGGAATCTCAAGGCTCAGCACGTTGATCCCACTCAGCCCAGTTGGTTCATATGCACACTGTTCATGTGAGGTGTCCAAGTTCCAGTCCACACCTGCAGAAGACAAGCGAATGATTCATTTCTGACACCTTATCTTACCCTCAGCTCTGGGGAAACCCCAGTCCAATCCAGTAAAGCCTTCCCTGGGGACAGATTCCTCACCAAACCAGGGAACTCCTCGTCGTAGTCAGAAGCCACTTCAGACCCCCTTTCCCACACACCTGTGGTGTCTCTGCCAGAGCTGGAGCAGCCTGGATTGTTCCCAAGCAAATTAAGCCCAGAAATATCTTTATTTAGCAACAGCATGGAGCAGCCTGGATTGTTCCCAAGCAAATGAAGCCCAGAAATACCTTTATTTAGCAACAGCATAACAGAGCTCAGTGCCTAATTAGAAACAAACACGGGGTATAACCTAACGAGAGCTACTGATGCTCCATTTTAGTTGCTGAGGACAAACAAGAGGCTTAGAGGAATTAATCCCTCTAAATTATATTGAGTGGGCAAGGCTATAACCAGGGCAAGATCAGAGCAGCAAAGAGCTACTCACTTCCTTCTTAAGGAGTTACTCACTCCCTATGTGTTTTCCTGACCATCAGGGCACCATACCTTCCAGAGCCCAGCAGCAATCCTACTGCTGTGCTGCCTTTTTGGGAAGGGAAAGCTTAACTAACAGCAAATCAATGGCTTTCCTCCCCAAATTTACAGAGACAGAACCATGATGGTTTGGGGAGTGGTAAGAGGGAGCGCTCACCGTCTGGGGCCCGTTGTTTTCTGTGGAGTTTGAGACCATCTTTATCAGGGAGTTCCAGGATGGGTCAGCAGCATGAGGCCCGTTGAAGATGGGGCCTCCAGTACCATCGGTGATGGGAGCTACAGGAGGGATCATGGCGTTCCCATACACGGAGAAAGGCATTCCCTGAGGGGAGGAAAGGCGACAGTCAGGACGTTCTCACCGCTGCTGCACGGGCAGAGTGACAACAGGGGATGTGTGTGGCACCTCGGGCTGCAGCAGGTCCTTACCCCGACCTTTGGGAAGTCCATGTACCCTGCAGGGACAGGCTGGTGGAATGTACCGGAGGGCGCGACGATCCCCGTGCTGTCTCTCTCCATGGCTTGGTGCGAGAACACGCCCGGGTCGGACATGGGCCTGTGGATCATGTGGCTCCCCATCCCGCTGTGACACCAGTCCACTTTATCTGGCAGCACAGACACAGCAACAGCATTATCCAGAACACTCCCTCACCCACCACTGCCAGCCCAGAACGCTGCTCACTCTGCCACCTGCACCCACCTGCACTACACGTGGGACGGAGAGCCCCGACAGTGGCACCTGCAGCCCCCAGGACAGGAACCCTGAGGCAGTGCAGGAGCTCGGGACAAGTACCTGCAAGTTTCCTCCATTGCAACAGCCAAGTTGACATTTGGGCTAACTCTTCCTCCTCCAAAAACCTAAATGCATCCAAACCCTCAAATTCCTCCACCCCCCCAATTCCCTGCCCACTGGTGCTGTGAATGTGCTGTGTATGCTATGGTGACTATTTGCTCTACTTCGTCACCATCCTCACATTAGCTGTTTAATGATCTAAGAGAGAAGTACTTTTGGACATGAAAACCAGGAAATGGGATGTGCTCATGTGGTAATTACATGAGTTCATTAGAGGCAGGCTGGTACTAGTGCTAGAGTTCAGACCCCAGACATCCAGAAAGCCATTTTTTCTCCACAAAACATATTATATTTGGAGACACAGAAACATTTCTGAGCCATCCTATACTCATGGAGAGAAGACCAATCCCATTCTGAACTGAAAATTGAAGTGCTGAAGTGAGTGAAGGAGAAAGCAAGCAGCATTCCCAAAGCCAAGACACACGAAGAGCAGCTTTTACAGCCACAGTGCAAACACAAACATTCAAAAGCCTGACCTGGCAAAAGACCTCTAGTCAAATAAAAGAAGGTCTGGGTGCATCCTGTCTGCTTTGTATTTGGGGAAAAATCCTGGGACAGTCAATCAACTCAAGCCTTAAGCTGCCTGGACTCAGTGAAGCAGCAGAACAGGTCGCTCAGAGGTTGAGCAGTTCCCATCCTTGCAGGTTTTCCAGATCAGATAGATAAAGCCCTGAGCACCCTAGTCCAGCCTGATGACAAACCCCACTGTGTGTGGGAGGTTGACAGGACCTCCAGAGGTCCAATCTGACATGCTCTCATGATTCCATCCCACATCCCAAGCAAAAAACCCCAAAGAAATAAATAAAAACCAACCCAAGCCCCAACCAATTTGTAAAAAACCCTCATCAATCTCCTAAAATTGTATCCAAGACTCCTAAGAAAAGTTGTCATGTCACTAACTGAAGTTCCTACTGAATTCTGTATGCCTCCAGGAGAGCCATGAGCCTCGTGTCAGGAAAATGCAAACGGCTGGAAAGAATAGAGAACTCTGATGTGGCTTATTACCACTTATAAAAACAAAACCTGCACCACTCTGGCACATAAAGTTCTATCTTAGCTACCACTTCAATCTTAACTCCTACTGTACACATAACCAACAGAAAGAAAACAGACAACTTAGCTTGAGGCACCTTCATTTCCTCTTCCTAAATCCAATGGTCCTTAACCAGTTCACCCCTGTAAACTCTGTGGGTTTATTTTCCCCGTTACTTCTCACTTGGGAGTAACAAATCTTCGCACCCAGGGTGAACCCTGAGGTTTACTAAAACAACTAAGTGGACAGGAGGGCAAACAGCAGTCCCTGCTCCAAACTCTTGGGCAGGAGCATCCCTCTATTTTGAGGCACTGAGTTCTGCACTGTCCTCCAGCACTGAAGACAAGCTTGGCAAGCACAGCACTGTGAGACCAAACCAAGTGCACCACATACCTTGACTGCCACCTATACCTTCGAAGGACCAGATCCCACTGTGTCCCACTGGAGCAGCCAAGTTGCTGCCAATGACAGAAGGAGTAGACGTTCCAGTTTGCCTGATGCGTGCAGAGCGTTCGGTTCCGATGGGAACAGGAACTTTTCTGTCCTGAGAAACATTGCTGGGCTTTTCTGACCCCAAGGACACTGCTGAGGGGGTGGGAGAGGGGGCTCTGACTCCAGAAGACACCGACTGCGCAGGAGACTCTGCAAGGAGAGCAAGGACAGCACTCAGGGACGGCAGCCAGGTCCTCTCAGCCACCACAAACCTACCCCTGGGTGTCCATCAACAGGGAGGTGGTTAGTGCCTGGTTCATCCAGCAAATACTTCAGGATAATTGCAAGTTTCACCTTCAGATCAGAGATTCACCATTGATTTGGTCCCTCATATAACCTGCTCATCATGCCCTGGCAGCTCAGCCACTGTGGGCACACCACTGAGCACCACTGTCTAGCAACACCAGAGGATTTGAGGATTATACCCCGAGCCAGAGCTGCAATAAACCCAGATAAATCCATGCTCTTGTTGGGTTGGTTTCTTCCTTTTATTTAATCCTGATTTGCTCCCCGTGGAGGGTTTTTTGGTCATTATTTTTGCCAGTACATGAGCCTAACTTGTCCCCTGAATAAGCCACCACACAACAGCTTGTTTTCTGCCCCAAAACACTTCACTGCAGAGCCAGAACTGCAGGCACCAAATGTGGAGGAAGGCACCAGAACCTCCCTAAGGATTTTCCCCTGGAATTCCCCACACAGTTCTGGTGAGACCACTTGATTTACACAGCAGCTCCTGCTGACCACAACTCACCATTTGATGCTGATGAACATGGAGGCAACAAACTAAGAGGGGAAAAATGCTGTCTGTTAAAATTAGCAGCTGCAGGAGCTCCGCCAAGAGGGGTCCCAGGTGCGTAGATCTGCCCTCCAGAAAGGTTGGAGGCAAAATTCCCCAGGTGGGTTGAAGAAGGTGTTACAGAAGCATAGGGAGAATCCATACTGACAATACCTGTGAGAGGAAAACAGGCACAAGTGACTCCCACCACTCCAACAGCTCCAGCAAGAGGCTGTCCACACCACAGAGGTAAGAAGGAAAACTTTTATGCAGTCCATTTTTGTGTGTGTGTGTATTACTATTTTCCAAAGAAAACTGGAAGTCAAGCTCCATGTTCTGCAAGTCTGGACAGTCCTGGCAGTTCTGCTGTCTATACGGATCAAGAATGACTCATTTCATGAACAAATGGCAGCAATTAGCCAAAACGTAAGAATTCCTGCTCCCTCCATGTTCCTCTCAGCAAGAGAGGGAAAAATAAAACCTTCTCGTACATAAAAATAAAACCTATGTATTTGTGTATCTGAGGGAGATACGGTGCCAAAATCAAAGTACTGAGAGGCATATTAAGCTGACAAAATTCACCACTATGATGCTCACAAATCAGTTTTAAAAAAAGCTGTTGTGTCTCTCCATTCACAAACAGCTCAGAGGTCCTACAAAAACAGGCAGAGATGGCCAAAACCTCTCTGGAAATTACAGCACAGGTTCTGGGCTGACCCCTTGGTCTCTCTTGAGCAAAAGGCCACACAATTCAGGAAGCTAAGAGAACTGTGGTTTAGCAACAATTTAGTAACTAAGGACATGCCTAAGGTAGCATTTCAGATCAAAACACTCGTTATTTTATCATCCTAACACTGCATATTTTCCCGCAGCCTCAGGACAAGCTAACACCGACTGGAATACTCATTAGCTGGGGTAGGGGAGGGAGGTGGAAACAGCACTGAAGTGTTTTATCATCTCAGCTATGGGAGGAGAGCAGACTGGAACGGCAAAAATAATGACTTTTGTCACGCTCGTCAGCCGCCAAACAGTTACTAGGCTTGACAGGTGGCACTTCAAATGAAAATGAGCTCGACTTGGCCGGCAGGAACAAGGCCGAAGTGGCACGGACAGAACGCGCTCACCTGAGGGACTCGGAGCTGGCCTCTGTAACGGCGGCCTGAACCCTGGGGCTTTGGAAGTGTCAGACTGATGCAGAGGATCTGAGTTTGGCAAAAACGAAGACTTTGCTGACAGCATGGACTCCGGCGTGGTCTGAGATGAAACGACGGACCCACCCCAGAAGGCGTGAGCGGACGTAGGGCTGTTCTCAAACAACGTACTAAAGGGCCCAAAGGGCAGAGTAGCACTGAAGTTGTTACCCATGGGCTTGCTGGCCGGGTGGGCCGAACTCTGAGAAGCACTTTGTGTACTTAAGGTAGAAGGAAGCTGCACTGAAGAAGGAACACTGTGG